GGGGGTAGAGGCTTCTGGCGTAGTCGAGCTTCGCATTAGGGGTATGAGGTGATCGATATGCCGTGCCGTCGCCAGTGCTACTCCGGGTAGGGGGTCTACCGAGGGTGGGCCTGATCAGAACTACAGCGGCGTCACGCGCCACTCCATCCCCCCCCGGCGTCGATGCCTGCTGCCACCCTCGTTCCAGTTCAAATACACCATCACCAATACCCGTCGCCCACCATCATCCCCTATCGTGATACCACTACCACTACTGCTCGTATTACTACTACCCTCACGTTCGCTACCCGCACGCCACGTTGGTTTCTCCCCTTTTTCTGGGTTAAGTAGAACATCCTGAGGGACGTCGACTGAGGGGCGAGGCGGGGGGGCGTACTCGCCACGACGTACTCATACGTGCATCTCTTTTTGGTATATATATGTATGTCGTCTTATATGCACATTATATATGTACTATATATGACGGATATATGTACGGGGTCTGTCTCGATACTTCAAGTAGCATCTAATACTATACTCCATACTATCTACCCTTAAAACTCTACTGACTGCTGCTCATCCTTGTCATCATTCCTCCGGTGACATATCTAACGTAGACTGGAATACATAGTCAAGAGTCTGTGCGTTTACCTTTGACCTTTGACAGTCGGAATATTTTCTACTTCAGTCAACTGTTTCTCACGTGAGAAAAAGACGTTTCGGAGAGCATTCGGGGCAGCGTGTCGTTACGGGGCGTCACGTCGTAACGCAGAAAGGACTGAGAACGGACGTTAATAGATGAGAAGGGCGCCAAAGCTGCGCCGCGACGCCCACGTTACTCGTACTCCCGATACACGAAATCCGACAAACCCAGCAACGTAACGGGTGTTCCGAGAAGTTTTCGTCGATTAATTGTCTGTGGGTAAGAGGGACGCAATTATAAGGATAATTACTTTAGGTATAAATTTTACTGCTACAGTCGTACCTCTTGCATAGATATGGACTATTCGGTTTTTCTCTCTTTCGTTTCGTGTACGCACTGCTTGTTTCGCGGGTCACCCGGTAGATAAAGTTGTGGCCAAGGAGGACGAAACAAAGTAAAGAGAAGCAAAGAGACAAGAGCCGAAAGTGGTGGCGGACAACATAGGTCAGACTGTGGATCGTGAGTCTAGGCTAGCAGGCGTAGAGAGGAGCCGATGTTGGCCAACTTCCCAGAACGAGTTCCCGGAGCCGAATAACATGCCGCTAAGTCGGCGCACACGAGCCAACCGGCCGTTCGCCATCCGCGAATTCCCAACGAAGGCCAACTGCGAATCGGAATTAGTCTTCGGACGTCGCCGACGAACCGGGAAGCTGAGTTTTACCTTGGAGCCTAGTAGGAAGAAGCCTTGGAGTTTATCCCAGGAGGAAAAACAGAAGATTCCCCTTCCTTTCTCTTTCAGCCATCGTATATACCCGGTGGTACAGACGTTCATCGTAAGATTCTCAAATTTCATTGGCGACCATAAGAAATCTGTTATCGAACAAAAATAATATATATGATAAATGAAAAGCAGTTAACGGTACATAATGAAAATGGTCAAAGTCTCTAATTAATCGTACTAAAATCTTTTGATATATTCCCTCTCTAAATTGGAGGATTTAAAATGAAGAATAGGACTACACCTAGATCCTGGATCCCATACCTTCTATCATGTTCAAGGCTAGAGGTTAAGTTAGGTTCACGATAACTCCATTGTGCGAACCTGTAAGGACGGCAAGTTCACAGGTAGAGGAATGGTCTGATGAGAAGCGTGCACAGGGTCGAGAGGTGGTAGCGTATGGTAATGGCGCGTAATACGATCTGATTGCATTTATGATGAGTGTGGGGTCGTGGCGCCTACAGAGAAGGGTGGACCCGGTATAGTAGAAAGGGGGGTCGACGCGTGTCTGGTAAACGCGTGTAAATTCTACTTGTGGTTTAATGATACCGCCATTTCAGTCCCGTATTTCAACCCCTAAACCACGTAGAGATCTTTTCACAATCCTTACATGCTTTCATATAATATATATATGTATATGTATATAGTACGCTACTCTCTCACCCATTCTCCTTCCTATAATCCTGTATGAGACTCACCGATGCGTATCAACGATAAGAACGTTAAGAGTCACCCTATATAACTACATCTCGCATACGGTACCATCGCGTTCCTATCTACGATTCAATCGGTTTCCCATCGTTCTTGGTAACCCACCACGACCCCATAACAAGGTACGATTTCGCGTGACGAATCAAACCGCAAACCCCTGAAGCCGATTTCACCCGAGCACAAAGAGTCACCCAGTATATAAATGCTTCGGCCGAAGTCCTAGTACAGGTTTCTCAGGATCGATACGTCGATAACCAACAATTCCTAAGTACAGCTTCGTGTTCCAGCGGTGAGGTAGAAGCCGGTTGGACGTCCTGGTGATCCTGAAGAGTTTCAACCGTCCTGGATCTACAATGAGAAAAACCTGTTACTCGACGTAGGGTAATATTCCCGTTAGTAAGGGTGTAAAAGAAAAAAAAAAAATTAGGGATACTATATGTGTATTGCGTGCAACCTGGGACTCTGGCTCTGCAGGGATAACGGTCTGTGTTTATGCGGACAGAAACCGTCGCGACGAATAGCGACGCTCGTATGCGTGTGTGCCGCGACGTCGGGGATCCTCTGTCCCCAAGAGAGTGATCGAGTGGATTGCCTTGACGCGCGGAACTTCTCGCCCATTTCTCTCTTCCACTGTGTTAGTCTCTCCTGCTCCGTCACTCTCTGTCTCTCTCCCTCTCTCTTCGTTCATGAAACCTATCAGAATCCCTCTCCTTCCACCCAACACTTTTCCATTCTGTTTTTTAACATCTACTCTATCCCTTCCTTGCTTGCGTCTTCCACATCCTTTCACCTTCTGTTCGCCCTCTCGTCACCTTTTGTTACTCCCGTTTCAAATCCTGACTGTCCCTTTTAAGGCTGACTTACATATCCACTTCCAGCAATGACGGAGAAGAAGATATAAAGTGTAGTTTCGAAGGGTCCTTTGTAACCTGCAATAAAACGACCATTTTGTAATTATGAGAATCCGAGGAATTTAGATAAGACAAAGAAGTTGTATCAAAAAATTAATTTTTTAAATAATTTTTATATTATTATTATATATAATATACAGACGCAGTAATTACTTTTTTTTCTACGAGGACAGTTGGGTTTTCCAACAACACGTTGGTTGTGGCGCTGCGGCGTGATTGCGACTTTATAAATTATGACGTCTCACTCACCATTGGAGGTTATCCTCGATCATAATTGATTATTTATGGGTTTTTAATCTGGCCCGATACAGGGGGTGTACGCTCGATGAATCTTAAAAGAGGAACGAACGAGAATGACCGCATGGCTGCATCCTTTGGCTTTGGCGTCGCTCATAAATAATGCCCGGGACTGATGTATTAAAAACATGTCGTGCCTGGTCGCTCGACGGGTAGCGCGCACACGCGGCCTTGCGGTTAGATGGGGGTGCCACCCTTATCGCGGTTTGCTCCCTCATTTCACTAGCACCCTTATTATTGCCGCCTTGTACGCATCTATCAAACATCGTACAACTACTGACGAACGAACTATCTAACCTTTACAGTCTCATCGCCGCTGTCACTATTGAATTCAATTATTATGACAAATCCATAAGAATCCATTGTCACTCACGTGAAAATTCGCATTAGAGCTACATAACAGAGTGCATATACAACATTTAAGGAAATAACGAAAAATTCCTAAATTTCTTGATAAAGAACTCACGACACATTTGAACCTACAATGTTCTTCGAAAAACTATGAAACTAATTTTCGGACACAAACCCGTTTTGCGTACGTATCATGTGAATCTCTCCTTTGAAGGTAACAACGTTCCATGCGCCATCTAGCGGATGTTGCCTGAAGGACCGAATGGCATTGCGCTCCGAAAAGTCGAGGAGTTTGAAAATTGAATTTGCATTTTGCGTACGGCTAGCAATCATCAGACTCTTCTAGCTACCGGACAGGGTTTCGGCAATTACGACCTGTACAGCTTTTGGTACTTTATTTTCAAGGGAGCAGAACTCTGCTGAATACGGCACTTCAACCCCCAGTGCCAACTCCAACCCCTACTGGCTCTCGTTTCGTGTGGCTGCAGGCGCCACTCTCCAACCCCCAAGGGAATTAATGTACTCGCAGCAACTCGGTCTCGCCTACTCACCCTCTCTCGCTCTTTTTCTCTTTCTACCTTTCTTTCTCTCTCTTACACGTTTACTCTCGCTATCTTCATCTCCTTCTAGCTTCTACTTAGTCTCTCTGGCGCGCGCACGCCTCAACCCCTAACATTTTTCCCCTAATCGGCCAAGGTAGGAGTGAGAGACTAAGTGAGAAGGAGAAGGAAAGAGACAGATTAAAGTAAGAGAAAGAGAGAGGGAGCGAGGATAAAAGTATAAGAAAGAGCGAGAGACCACACGAAGACAAGACGCCGACCTGCCGCGTGGGGAATTACGAACGTTTCGCCCGCGAAAACGATAAATATTTCAAGCCTGGCTTTTTTTCGCCGCGTCACGCCAACGCCGCCACTCGTGACATCTAGCGGGCATCAGGCATACCATTCTACTATACAAGTACATACAGAACATAGACTTTCGAATTCACAGGGTGACTGTGTTGTCGGTGGGCGCGGACTAACGCAAATCCTAAAGAACTTAAATTCTGCGATAAACCGTAAATCAACTCTATTCTCATCACAGTTCTGAGTGCGTATTCTCGAACCATTCTTACAAATCGACCAATGCTTTTCAAATGTCGCATGCGAGAATCATTAAGTAAAACTTGAGAATAAGGTCCCTGATATCTTGAATTCCGTTACCAACTTACCTTAAGTATAAGATCCATGTCGGAGCTAATTTACCGCATATCAAAAATATCGCGAAAGTATCGTTTTCGCAATCCCGATTAGTCGTCGCTGTCGTTTTTCAATACGAATTAATTTACATCGTGGAGTGCGCATTCACGGAATGCAGTCAACTTGACAGTTCGCGATTACTTTAGAAATGTAAATATATGAAATCATGCTTTAATCTTTTACGAGGAGCCAGCTCGAAACATACAAATAGGTCTTTAGTTGATATCTATATTTTCAGTGTGAGCCATTACATTATTTATAATTTTCATGAATCTCAGAAGCAACTCATGAAGACGTTTCAAAGTATCAACAAAATTGACGTAATCATCTTTGCACAAGGTCGAGAGATTTCGTGGGAACATTATGTTCCTTTTGAAGAAAAACAACTGCAGCGTGCCTCCGTTTCGTGTAAAAATTAGAAAACAATAGACTATACTACTGTCAATTACTTTGTGACTCTTAAATGATTCTCTATTCGATTAATAGCATCTGTCAATTATGATACAATATCCATTTGAATGCTAGTAGTAAGTACCTTGACCAGATCACGGACTAGCTCATTAACTTATTTTAAGAACAAGAGACAAAGAGAGCGAGAGAGAGCATCATTGTACTTAACGAACTCATAAAGAAATTTTACGTCATCAAGATGAAACCGTCTGAGACAAAATATCTTCCACTTTAGAAAGGCTTCTCATTCCGGTTACCAGGTGCACGATATCATTACCCCAGGATTATTGGCAATTAAGCTAATAATAATAATAATCATTCCGAAGATCACTTCCCACTTCAGCAATTATCCGTTACGATTCTCCCGGTCAGATCCGAATTCTCTTGAACTGGCGGAAGTGCCAGAATAGCACAAGCATAAACTTTCACCTCGATCGCCCACTTTGGCTTCGCCATCCTTGCACCACTAGATTTACTAGATTTATCCTTGAAAACTCTTCTTTCTTCCTCCGTGTCACCGTACATGATCGATCGATCGATCATTCCTCTGGACAAAGAGAAGAGGCGGCAGGAATCGGCCCACGTCGAAACGTGATCAACCTTTGGAGATTTAAGCTGCCTAATGTTTCATTGATGGATCTACTATTACATATACGTATACTCAATGCTCTATTATATAAACTACACTATACACATTGTATAAGTATACCGTATAGCGAGGAAAGTGCTTGAAAGCGTTTTACGGTACCTGCTTGCACTTCTATCTGATCAAGTTAAAAAAAATATGCGAGTTGCTACACGTCGTCTGTAGCCACGTCCCTTAGCCGGTACTCTAGGTAACCTAACCTAACCTAACCTAAGCCAGCTTCCCTTGAGATCCTTGTATAGTAGCCGTGTTCGTCGTCTTTCAAAAGGAACGTGCTATCCAATCAGTTGCGACGATGGCACGAGTGGTCTACCTGGCAAACTGCTCGTCTTTGGAGTTTCTCTCTCTTCCTCTTTCTCTCGTTCTATGCCTGATTCTCTCTCTCTCTCTCTCTCTCTCTCTCTCTCTCTCTCTCTCTCTCTCTCTCTCCCGCTCATCCTAAAAAAGGTATATATAAAGAGCAATATGTATAGATAGTAAAGGGTGAGTGCGGTAGAGAATACGCTTCCCCACGAGTTAAGTAGGGCGAGAACGGAAGCGGAAACGGAAGCGGGTGGGAAAGGATCGGCCTGGGCAATTGGACTTACGTGATCGGCGTTATGAGGAATGCGGCGATCGCGAGCGGAGCATACACCAGGTCGGCTAAATGGTTTTCCAATAAATTGCGAGCGTCGACTAATTGAATCCAGCACCGAGAGTAGGTTTCCGTGTCAGGAATTTGTCGGTACGAGTTGGCTAGCTTGATGTCTTGGATACGAGTCTGTAGAATCTAACCAGACCTGATGCAAAAGATATTTCATATAGATATATATATGTATAGTATATGAGGTATGTGTAAGATTCGTACCACATGTGAATGTACCTTTACCAGGAGCCTACGAGCACAGTAATTATCCGCTTACCTGGTAAACAAGGTAATCGCAGTGTGGATCGTCCTGGTTGATAAGCACGGTGGGCATTCTAACCTATTATTTTTTTTTTATTTATCCCCATTCCTGGAATATCGGGCAATAATCTTTCTATATAGCTACTTCCTACCTTCTACTTTTTTCATCTTATCATTCTCAGAACTTACTTTCTTATTCTTCTTGTCGTCTGCTCTTCCTCAAGTCCTCCTCCTGACTCACCCGTACCATCTTTATACTTGAGTTGTACCGGGGCGACTTGACACTTTTCCAAAGTCTCTCAGAAGACTTAATGGGCGTCGAGGAGGGATACCAACGTTCTGCGCACTTGAAGTTTTCGTTGAGGAGAGGGCTTATATAGTGTATGTGCATATACGTAAAGGTTCACAGAGGATTTTGACCAGAGTGACGCCGGCATATTTTAAAGATACTTTTACATTCTCCTTAGGACGACGTCTTCATGGTCAGTCTATCATAATTTTGGTCAAAGCCTTATCGATTGTATCATTGTATCGATTGTATTATCAATTACCACTGAGTAATACAGTTCTTGGTGAAACTCCCGTGCATGGAAAAACAGTGCTATCTATTCCACATGAAAAAGCTTCTCTCAACCTCGGTATTCCAATAGCACAAAAGGACATGTCAAACTCAGATGGTCTGACTAACCCCTGGCCAAAGTCACAATCATGCGCCATTAGCGATCGATCTCTGTTCTCTCCTACGTCAATTCCACCCCTTTGGAAATTACGTGCTCGCCAATTCTTGCACTGACCGAACTACAGTCAAGTACTATGATAAATAAAACCGTTTATCCTGGAGTCACAAAGAGTAGTAACCCTTCGATTTCCCTGTATACGCTTTCAACGCTAATGGTAAAAATCCGTTTTATGTTACAAAGGATGAATGGATTTAGGGGACCATCAGTAGTAGTTACTTAGAAAGGTTGTTATTATTCGAATTTTGGATTTCATACAGTTTTTCGGTAAATGATTCAAAAGCATGAGATGTCGATAAGGTAGGAAGGTATACTAGGGTGCCATCTATGAGCAATATCTACAATGTAGGATTAGGTACGTCTTACCACCGTTTGAGAGTGAAAAGTAGAGATAATCACGGGAATTTATCCTCAGTCAGTCAATAGGATTAAATTTACTATTACGTAAAGATCTAAGCGTGAACCACGGTCTTGTATACAGGTCTGGGCACTTAGGCGAAAAACGCGTAACGATAAGGTGGCCACTACCGCAAGAGGCGTTAGTGTTGAAAGAGCCTATCACGTGGTAGCACTACGTGTGCGCAGTTATCTCTTTCTTGAATACGTAACCTGCAGCTTTGTTCGTAATGGTTAATATACCGTGATTGGAATTGAAAGAAGCAACAATGACCCGAAAGTGCATCGTGCCTGCTTAAATCACAATGGTAGGATTTTGCATTTAAAAATCTAACATGAGTTACAAATAAATTCAGTAAAAAAGTTACTACACAAACAAAAATTGACTACGTTGTATATCTACGTTTATATGTTAGTATATCTCCTGTGAAAGATTTTTCATTGAAAATTCCTACACTCAAACCGGAGAAAGTCTTTTTACAAAGATAATTGGACCTTGTGGAACCAATTTCCTATAGTGATGCAACATAAGTTCAACAAGTGCAAAAGAGAGAAAATATTTATACTATTGAACTTAGCTACGAAAAAAATTCTACTTGTACATATATTTCACTTTTTGTACTTGTCCAGAGGTATGTTCATCAAGTTAAAAATTTTCAGTATATACGCAATTATAGCATCATTCAATTTTCATGACTTTTAGGTGAATTGGTCCATTTAACTTTATTTTCTTAAATCATCGATTCTTCATTTGTCTAACTTATCAAAATTTTATTTAATTGGCATCGCATCGGTTTTTTGTGGGTAACTTTCCTTTTGAATCGGAGTTGAGGTTGCAGTGAATTTACGGATGCGCTTGCGCTGTTTCAGCAGGCTTCTTCGACATTAGCGTTTGCGGGTAAAACCGTCCACGTTACAGTTACATGCTACAATGTGGTAAGGATAGGGAAGTACCCAGACCTGTATATAAGACCGTGGCGTGAACGGTAAAGTACACTTGCGTAAACAATCAGCTGTCTTTACGGCATTGTCTCGCATATTATTATTGTTCATTTTGCACAATAATATATAATTGACAAGATGCGATTACCATGGAAAAGGGTACCCCTTACCCTTGCCGGTTTTCCATTTTTTTTTGACAGTGTTAAGAAATCGAGTAACATGTATTTAGATGCTGCGAAACATGAGACCGGCTGGGATAGGTTACGTTCTGTATTTATATCGACGTAAGTATTAAAATCTGTAGAAGATACAGTATTTGAATTTATTACTTAACATTTTATTTACAAATTCTTCAGCGATGGTGGTGAAATGAGTCGAGAACTTAGTTCGATACACCAATCTATATTTATGGGTGGAATTCTCGGTATGATGTATGGAGGGATAAAAAAATCACAATTCTCATTTAAAAACTTTATTCACAACAACGATGCCACAAAATTTCATAATATTGTGGATGCTAGGAGAACATTGCAAAACGAAGTGACTATAGGTTTCATAAAAGGAGCATACAAATATGGATGGAGAGTTGCACTTTTCACCGGTTCTTATGTGTAAGATATATCTGACTATAACAAATTTTAAGATTACTAGCGTCCTTAATCATCAATTTCTTTTTTAGAGGATTAACAACACTTATAGCCACATATAGAGGAAGATCTTCTGTAATAGAATATACAGTGGCAGGTGCAGTTACAGGGATGATGTACAAAGTACCTATAGGTCCTCGAGGTATGGTATCGGGTGGTGTAGTAGGGGCTGTTTTGGGTACATTAGCTGGAGGCATAACATTGCTGATACTCAAAACGACTGGTAGCACTGTTGAGGAAGTACGATACTGGCAATTACACATTAAAGATGCAAGAAATGAGTAAGTAACGCATTGATATATATTAAGATATAAGTCATTATAAGTAGACTTAATTATATGTTGCGTATAAAAATTGTTTCACAGACAATTACGTGAATCGGTAAAAGAAGCTATGAAAAAAAGAGACTGGGAAGCACTTCATGTACATAATGAGAAGACAAAGGAAGTAGCTATTGAAAAGCAATTAGATACAATTGCTGAAGAGCAGGCACCAAAAGAAAAATCTGTAGAAAAAAAAACAGAACAGTAAAAAGTAATAGCACAAATTGTATATAATTGAAGTAATTAAATATAATGTACATTACATAACAGACTTTATTCGTTGTTACATATCCTTACGATATAACATACAATGAGATACCTTTTACCTCTGTTATAGTATAGACTTAAATATTTCTCTTCTTTTCATGGAAACCAAAAGACTTATTAGAATTCAAAATCAACGCTCATTTACAGTTATTTGCATTTCTGAACAAACCAAAACAATGGAATAAAGATTAAAATCGCAACTTCATTTTAAGTCAAACACACAGTCTATAAACAGAACGTTGTGACAATCATTGATGAGTAAAGAGAATGGGATGTTAAATCATAATTACTTAATTACCTGATTAATAAAATAATAAGGGACATTATAAGTCAAATCTCTCCCCTCATTTCATTTCTCTTCATTATTAATCCTGGGTATTTACAATAAAAAATTTTCATCGCAACGGCTACCCTGTAGATAGATTCTCAAAACTATCCTATAAAACATACTTAATTGGATTTAGTCTATATACTTGGATATTGAATGAACGTTCTTGCCATCAAGTAAATAAATATGTCAAGTACCATCAAAATACGATGTTCAATAGGAAATACGAACATCAAAGAAATACTACTCTATTATGCTTATTGAATAGGCCTGATTCCTAATGATACTGATCACAAATAATTATTAATCAATATCAAAAGCAGTCGAAAAAAGAAAAGTTAAAGTCAGACCAGCTTCCTACATTTCCTTGTGCCGCTCAAATACTCCTTTGAACGACAAGAAATTGTAAAATCATATCAAATACAGATACAAAAAAAAATACCAAAAGCCTAATAGATGCCACTAAAAAAAAACTGGTAAGAAATCTATTGCTGCATGATTTAAAAGATCCTCACATTTGTTAAACTTTTCTAATGTCCTGCTTAATTGTTTTCCTTATTGCCATATTTAGGGAGCAACATTGACCCCACAATATTCTATACTTCTTCACCTGGTGCTTCTACATCCTGGACCTTCGTTATACGTTTGGCGCCTCTATGCGGTGGACCCTTGGGTTTGGCAAACTTAGGTCGATGCAAATTAACTTTCGGATGCAATTCCTCTTGCAAGAAATCCTCGTTTAGTTCCTTCCCGTCATCTATCTCAAGCTGAACATCCAAAGAACATCGTAAAGAGCAAAAGAAAGAAACTCTGCAGCAGTAATGAAAGATTTGGAAAAACGAGAGGCACTTATGGAGACAAAACTGCAAAGTTCCAATAATGAAAATGACATCAGGTCTGACAATAGCTTCAATGAAGAAACGCAACAACACTCTCTTTCTCTTTCTAAGCGAATTTTCCTCAGGCCAATTCTGTAAGATTAATTATTTATTCTACTAGTTTCTTAACACTATTACATACCCGTAAGGATGGATCCGTGCTCTCCATTTTGCGCGCTATTTAAATATCCGACTCTGCCTAAACACGGAGACGGATGTAGATAATAAGATTCTGGTTGAAATTGTATAATGGTTTTATTGTTCATAGTATATTTAATATTGGCAAGATATACAATTCATTTGTTCGTACTAAGGAACCTACAATTACAACAGAACCGTTTATAAATAATTAGTCATCAGATTTATCGAGAACTTACAGAATAGGCCTGGCGCTTGAACGCTTCATTGTTAAATAATAATAGTGCCCAGGCAAAAGTGTGCGTCTCGCAATAATATATACGTCAGAACACAATATCTTTTTCATTTCTTTTTTTAAATTCAATTTGTCCATGACTTTGAGCGTTTCAAACAAATTCGTACATTAAAACCTGATCGTGCGTGGGATCGTCTGACAGCGAAGTGGCGAATCAAAAGCTTACACGAAACGCTACGTGAAATTACAAAATATATAAAAACGACTCTCATCAATCACTTTTGAATTTTTAATAAACACAATTAAATATGAATAAAAAATCAAGAACAGTAAATATGCCACCGAGTCTGATACCCTATACTCGTAATTGCATGTATGTACTTCCATCGATAAGCATATACGCTCTCGTACTTTATTCGAATAAAATAACAAAAGACAATCGATCAAGGAAGAACAAAAAAAGAAAAGCAAGAACTTAGCTTAGCTCATTGTACAGTGACAAAATACAAATATAACGTACGACTATTGTTACGGTGTCAAGAGTTTGCTCCGCGCTCTTCCCTGTCGTCGACGCACGTCTAATTGATAGGCCAAAGATCGTGAACTTCAATATACTAGAAGTGACTGGGACAGAAATTTCTCAAAAGTTTTATAAAAAGCTACAAGAGTTAAAAAAATACACATCACGAAAAATAGAATGCCTCTCGAATATCCTCCTCTTTTCCTCCTTTCAGGTATCTACGTGGTTGCGGTCCCATCCGCGATAAGCTCCGAACTCCTGATTTGGATGTGCGTGTGATGTCATTGTATATTAAACGGCAACAAGAAGAAAAAAGCAGCGAATATCATACAATCAAGAAAAATGCACACGGGCGGAGATTTAAAAAAATCTCATCTGCGTAAACGTTCACTCTGCAAAAACGCGATTACCTGTACGACGGAAAAAACGAAGGAAAAGAAAACAGATTCAAACAAATAACAGTACAATTATTTACGATCTCGAATGCCCATTAAATTTCAAAGAGAAATTTGTCGAATCGCATTTAGCTAATATAAAGCCGATGGGACTCGCCACGTTCAGCCTTACGTTATATTTTGTGAATTTTAATATGTCATATATATATCATTCGCAATATAATATTATATATATATATATATATATATATACATATATGTATACATATCATATGCATATAGATATTATTCAATATATATTCAATATGTATATATAAAGTAATAATCATTAACACTAAGTTGCAATAGAAGTGACAATGCGCCACAAAAAAGACATCCTAATCTGAGATGTTTTATTGCAAGATAGAATTGCAAATATTATAACAAGGGATGCATTAAAGCGGCGCATATGTCAACTCGCATGCCCGTTTACAATATACATATATATGTATATATGTATATTATCGTTATCAATTAATTATTAGAATATAATGCAGAGCAGTTAGGTTATTGGCGTTAGCTAGCTAGAGCGCATGGAATTCTTTCCTAACTCCTCTAATAATCACAATACGGCAATCCAACTGCCGAGAAATACTTCATTGTTATTAAACAATATAATTCGTCCTAATTTATTAAAACCGTAAATGTGCATATGTGACGCGCTATTGCAGGTCGAGCCTTTTGGCTATTTTTTTTGATCACCTAAAAATGAGAAATTAGAGGGCAACTTAATATGTACGTATCACTTCGCATAAGACTAGGAACTAATTTAAGACTTGCCCTGCTGGATTTTTCATTGTTAATAACGACGAGCTGGATACTTATCAGTTTTCACTTAAATTACTGAGATTTATCCTCTTTCCATGATATTTTATCCTAAATTAAGACTATCTGCTTGTGCTGCTGCAGCTACAGCTGTACTGAATGTGCCAACTTGGTGTGTGATGTTAATATTTTGAATTAAAAAATAATAGGATACAAATTCACAGCGTAGAAGGTAATGTACGCGGATATGGTGTAAATTAAGAAATATGTTTTTTAATTGTTAATGATGCTGCATACTAAAGAGGAACATGGTATAGAGTGTGATTAGTAGCAGTAAGTCTAATTTCAAATAATAATATAGTTTCTTGATTAAAGAATTACCCATTCGACACGTCAAACGTGTACTAAATAGTTTGTGTGCTTAACGAAAATAAGAAAAGGGAAAACCCAGCAACAAGAAAAGGCTCGACCACAAATTAGCGTTGCACGCGATAAGTTTGAGGAAAAAATGTAATATTAATCTCAGTGTAAAACGAGACAACTGACCATGTAACGTTTACTAGGATATCGCGAATTTATAATGGTACGCCGTATTATACATATATACTTTTGTTCAGAAAAAGAGGGCACACATCAATATCATTAATTCACAATTTAATGTCGAACCCGATAAGAATTTGACTTGACGATTTTGGTTTTTTTAAAATTTAGAAAAATACACCGTTTTGGTCTACTCTCTTCAGCTAAATAGGTATACGTATCACTTTGAACGACTAATCCTAAAAGTCATTAAACGACGTTTAATCATCAGCTCTTACGTTCAAAATTCATTTAAAAACTACGCGATGAACTATAGAGAATCCGTAACATTTAAAAGACTGAATGTTTTAACAAGAATTCACGGGAAACCAGAAAGTCATAATATAAAAGCAAATGACATAGTACGATGGACACGCTGTCTTCGTGTTGTCGACATTTTTTAAAAAGAAATTTGCATATATACGTGATACCGCGAACGCAATGCAAAATTGGCAAGTTTTGTAAACCTCGATTGGAGGAACCTGTTAACTCAGAACGCAAGAACGCTTCTGCTTCGACTTTTTCTCAGGCATTGATTGAATAGGAGCGGAAGGCGTTGACGGAGTCGCGGGTGTCGTGGCTGCTGTTTCTTTTATGGTAGGAGGGTCCTCCAACATGTCTGCCAACTCGTCTCCGCTATTTACTTCCAACTGTGATTGGTTTGATTTTTATAATGTACACTTTAGATTTTTATATTTTTTATAAAGTTCTCGTGCCATAAATATATTTTGAGTATGCGATTTAAGCTCTCATGTAAAATCAATGATACTCTAATGGGAAAATAAGTAGCGTTGCTATACAGTAGTAGGATGATCGTTAGTACAACTAACATTTTATGGGGTTGTTTAGTTACTTACCATGACAGAGAGTAAGTCTAAAAATAATATGTTATATTTATCGCGTGTTGTTACTCACCTTTTTTGTTATATTCACTCCGAGAGATTGAATGAGATCAAGTAGAGGTGCTTTGCACGAGGAATACAGCATCCTTTCTTTAATACTGCAGCTATACCCTGGCATACTGTATATGAATACTGTGGACAGAAATATTGAGACATGTACATCAAGTTTTAATGTTTGAGAAATATTATTAAAAAAATATTGTGAGAAGATTAGGACTCTCACTTACCTATACTTTCTATGTAATCGCCTTCGTGAGTGTGCTTGAAGTTGTAGAGATGATACCTGGCTGCATCTGATGGTACTTTTGTTGGGAGTTTGTCCAAAGAAACTTCACAAGCCATTACCAAGTGTATCTTCTCCTCCTCAAGATCAATTTTTAATTGAACATACTCGTGAAGTCCTTTGCCTAAGTCAGTGATTGCTTGCTCTGCTTCATCCGTCACAGGGAAAGCAACGCCGCTTAAAGTCTGATGCCTTGTCTCTACACTATAGTCCGTATTAATAGTAGTTTTCTTGAGCTCTGCTAGCTCCTCCTCAGCCGTAGTTAATGGTGCTGGTGCAGCATCGTTCCTCTTATGCCTACGGTATCCTTCCAAAGTAATGTCCTCAGGAACAGTTCCGTGCAATTCTTCTTTTATAGATGCAGTGCCAAATTCTTGTTTTAAGGTAGCTTTGGTTGAGGCATACAGCATTTTCTGTCTAATTGGTGCAATATCAGGTGACCATGAGATAAATAACCAATCATATCCAGAATCAGGAGACTTTGAATCAAGACGATATAAAATATAAGCTGGTTGATTTTCAACAATTAGTGGTTTCACCATTTTATCATAATCATCTTGCCATTTGCCAACAGGCTTCGAAGAGGAAGCAGGTACTAATTCCTCTGAAATACAAATACCATTACATACTCCAAACCATTTTACAACATCGTATAAAGAATTTCTGATAATAACATGTTAAGTTCGAAGAAATCAAGGTCTTATCAGAACACCTTGATAAAAATCACAATTTCTATTATCAGAAACAAGAGTAGAAAAATAAGAAAAAAGGGGTCTCACCATTCTCTATAGAAACTTTGAGGACACGTATTTTGCCATCTCGACATTTTGCAAATACTTTCTTGAGTGCATCGTTAGCTGAAAAAAAAACGTCAGTAGTAAAAATCTTTTAAAACAGGGTGTGAATTTGAGGTTACAATAAGACCTATGCTTTCCTTTCACAAGGAAAGTAGTTATATCACACGCATAAAAACTCTCCTTACAAAATCAATACTATAATATTCTCACGCTAATCACCTTTAATTCCAGTCTGATGTGACATTCTTTCCCAGATATCGCGGAGTTCTACAGACACACTACTATCTTGCTCGATCCGCCAAAGTTGACTGAAGTGTTCATGCACTACCCACCGAGCTATGATAGGCGATGTAAGAGCGAGCCAATAGTAATAAAGCTTAGTGAAGTACACGACAAACACGGCCAATTACCGCTAGAGTTATTCTGTGGCCCTTAGCGACAGAGAAAAGTTTGACCTTGTAGCAACGTCATGCACGATGAACGATCTGTCAAAAAGAGATCCATTCTGAAGCAGTCCGGATACTGATGATTCGTCATACCGACCACTAAATTAGAACCCCTCTGATGTTAATTATATCGATATTAATGTTAACTGATATAATTATAATATATTGCAGCAACTAAAGTATCATCTATAATATATATATCTTGCGATATCGAATAAAAAATGTTAATCATTACATATAGTTCAAAATATGCCAGAAATATATTATATGGTCATATTTTTGTATCCTTTTTCAATAATTTTATTTCCTACAATTTTGTCTTCTTCAAAAACCACAAAAAAATATTAATTGATCTTAATCATATTATGACAGCCAAATGCATAACAGTACTGATTCTAATTTTGGTTATATAAACAAATTTTTAAATACAATATAAGCTATTTCTGAATATATAATATATGTATACGTTATCAGCTTTCCTATATGGTGGATAAGAAGAAATATTACGAACAGGCAAAGAAAAAATAATAATTTAAGGAAACAGTCAGCATGAGGTCGTTCGTATGTACATACGTTATTACGTGCCCCGAAGCACGATAGGTTTGTTCGAAAATGAGTTGATAACGCTATAAGCATGTTGTGTCTCGATCAAATGCATGCAGTAAACAGAGAAGCAATGACACATTATGCGCTCTCAGCTCATTTTCGAACACACCTATAGTGCTTCGAAGCACGTAAAAACGCTTACACGATCGGACCTCCATAATTTCAATCGAATATTGCTTAAGGATAAACATGGCTACAGGTTTTACTCATACTGAAGTGAAATATATATATAATTTGCCATATCATGAACGGTCAGAATTATGTAAAGTTTTAAACCTTAATGATTCGTGGAAAGAACTTGCAGGTATGTATTTTTTTTTAGATACTTCAATTTAATGATGAGGATAATTTATATTATGTACTGCCTTACTATGGATTTTAATTATGAATTAAATAAATTAATTTTTCTGCAACCATGTTGTTTAGCAGAAACAGATTTATTTTTTATCATTTCGTTTTAATAATTGTTAGCTAATTTTATATTTGTATTTAGGTACATGGATGAAGATTAATGAATTGAATGTAAGAACTTTATCAAGAGAAAAGAATCCTACCGATGAACTTTTAACCTTATGGGGTCAGCAGAATCACACTGTTCTTGAATTATTTATTTTATTGTCTAGAATGGACAACTATCAAGCAATGGTCCAGATCAAGTCATTTGTAGATCCAAAATATCATGCTTTGATAGACAATGGGGAAAAAAATCTTCAACGAATAATACGTAGGGGACTTAATAAATCTCCAAATGTAAAAATCGGAGAGTGTGAAGTTGTAAAAAAAGAACCACCAGTATCTAACTTACTAAAACTCACAACAGATTCTATTTTGAATGAACCTGTACCACCCTTGCAAATGTCACCACCACTCCAAGCAATAAGTTTTGGTCATTTAAACGGCTTATCACCTGCTGGAATACCTTATGCTTCACCCAAACAACGGGATGAAGCTATGTCTTCTAGAAAGAAAACTATGATAACGCTACCGAAAACTGAAGCAAATTTACCAGAAGCTCCTTACCAAGAGCTAGAAGCTGCAACAAGTGGGTGGAGTGTACATAATATTTTAGGAAAGGGTGGCTTTGGCACAGTGTATAGAGGTATTATTTTAATGATATTTCAAACCTTTTATGTATCATGCAATAAATTCTTTAAAGATTTTGTAACTGATTGTCAAATTTTTCAGGGCAATGGAAAAACACATATGTGGCAATAAAGAGATTAGAAGCACGCCCTTCTGGGCCAGATGATCAATACATAATTCACCTCCAACAGTCGTTTAGAGAGATAAAAATTTTGAATTCACGTGCCCATGAAAATATTTTACCATTATATTCTTATAGTTTGAATGGTGAAGCACCCTGTCTTGTGTATATGTTTATGCCTAATGGCTCCCTAGATGATGTTCTGCGTTTGAAACGTGGACATCGACCATTGACCTGGATACAACGTCATGTGATAGCCCTAGGAACTGCACGAGGAATACAATATTTACATACTATTGGTGAAAAACCTTGGATTCATGGTGACATTAAAAGTGCAAATATTCTACTGGATAAAAATATGGAACCAAAACTTGGTGATTTTGGACTAGCCAGAGAAGGACATGAACATGAAGACGTATTAGTAAGTATACTGAAACATTTTCATAATTATTTTAGGAGCATGAACATAACAAACTATTTTCTTATTTAATTAGGTTAGCAGAATTCAAGGTACAAGGCCTTATTTACCTGATGAATATTTGAGAGAAAAAATGTTATCTACCAAGATAGACACATACAGTTATGGCATAGTTTTGTTTGAACTATCAACGGGTCTTGCAGCATATGACGGTAGTAGGCCGCAGTATAAATTTCTTAAACAGTTTGTGGACAGTTGGAGCGAATGCGATATACCACTGATGATGGACAAGACTGCTGGTAAAGAAAAGGAGGAAGTGTTTAAGAATTTGTTATTTATAGGAAAATGGTGTACAAACTCTCATTCAAAGGATAGGCCAGAAATGGAATATGTTTTTCGGAAACTCAATAATCTCTAAAATATTGTACAATCATTCCCACGCTCATTGTGATAAGTTATACCAGCTGTGAAATATGAGAATTTTTTATTATAAGTCAAATAAATATATTTTAGTATTCTTCTATGAATCACTGGTTCTGTTGTTTATAGAATGTTCCATACACTTTTTATGGACAGTGTATACAGCAAACGAAAAATCGACTGATGTATACAAAAGACCATAGATTATCTCATTTATATCAACACATTATCCCACCCTCGCTTCTTTATTGAAATCATAATATGCTATTGAGCACACGTAAAATACCTTTCTCTTTTACAATTTCATTCGAACTTCAACTACTATCACATAGTATATTAATTAATTCAGGTATATTCCAGTGTATTCTAAACACTACGGATATGGTGGTCTCAGTCAATTGCGTACGGGTAAACAGAGACACGACGATACTTGTAGTATTAAAAGAATTTTTAAATACACCTACATATAATCCTTAACTCTCATATATCCAGTGAACTTCTTTATTTTGTTTACAAGCGTCATTATATATTACCATATATGACTGATTGGAAATTCCCACTGAAGTATTTTGGTGAAATTGTCAGTGCAGAATGCCTACAAGTTTAAGAATCGACCTCAAATCTCCAAAATCCAGTTACAATATTATTTCTATGAAAAATCGCTCTATTGAAATAAACGCTCCTTGGTCTCTAAACGAAGGAAAAGATTAGTAAAAAAAATATAACATAACTGTAGAATAGCTTTTTTGTTTAAAACGCAAATTAGTTTAGATGAGTTGGTGATCAGCTGTAACGTCATGTAAAAGGAGTAGGGGTCAATAGTTGGAAATTCCATATCCCTCCTCTGACTCCTTTTCAAAACACATGATGAGTTGGTGGCAATCGAGAATCCTTCAGTTAGTGCAGTTTTCTAAACGTTAATAAATAGTTGATTTTAATTTTGCCAACTCTACTTGGTAGCTTGGGGAAATGGCTTCTGGTAGTAAACGTACTACGATGAAATATATATATAATTTACCTTATCGGGAATACTATATGTTGTGTCGTTATTTGAATGCGGATGACACATGGGAAGATGTTGCGGGTATGTATTGTTTATTGGGAAATCCCAAATTGCGCTGTACATTGTGATAGATAAAGCTTTCAATCGTTAATCATTGAGTTGTCGTTGACAAATTAGGAGCTTGAGAATATTTTAATAAAGCTTATGTAGAATGTATCAAGCTTACTCGTAAGAACATTGATCAAGCAGCATGTTATTGTATTTTACAAACTTTCTTGCTGAAAAATTAATTTTAATTAATGGATAATTTGTATTTAGGTAACTGGATGAATATGGATGTGTTAACAATTATGGATTTGCGAAGGCAAAAGAATCCAGCTGAATATGTTTTGAATCTTTGGGGTCATGAAAATCACACTATAGTTGAATTATTTGTTATATTTCACAAAATGAAGTTCTATGAGCCAATGAAATTATTGCAGCCATACGTGAGTCCTAAGTATCATTATTTGTTACATGATGTAGAAAAGTGTCTTCAGAAATCAACATATAAAAAACCAGAGCCTGATAGATACTCAAAGGACATGAAAATTGGAGAGCAAAATTGTAATTGGAAACAGCCTGCAGTTTCCGATCTAATCAAATTATTATCAGAGACTTCTACTAAGAAAGATCATTGCATGAAGAATAAAGTCATGCTGCAAGTACCAGTAATAGAAGTTCCACAACCCCAAAGTGATTCTAATAATTTAAATGTGGTTTCGCCTAAAGCAACACCTCTACATGACTTAAGTATAGTAAATCAAATTACTAACACATCTAAAAAGAATAACAATGTATTATTTACAAAAAATGAAATTACACTACCACAAGCTACATACGAAGAACTTGTAGTTGCTACTGACATGTGGAGTATACAAAATGTTTTGAGTAAAGGCAGTTTTAGTACGGTATATAAAGGTAATACTTTATTATAGAGTTAATACGTATTTTTATACAATGTTCTATTCTGAAGTAAAATTCTTTACAGTTTTTATCAACTATAAATTAAATGTTCTAGGACAATGGAAAAATACAGCAGTGGCAATAAAAAGAATGGCACCACGTAATCCATCCTCAGACCAATATTTAAGAACAGAGATTCAACAATCATTTACAGAAATAAAAATTCTCAATTCGCGTCCTCACGAAAATATTTTACCACTTTATGCATACAGCCTGGATGGAGAGACACCCTGTCTCATTTATCAACTGATGCAAAATGGATCCTTAGACGATGCTTTGCGTCTAAGGGGAAATTCTGAACCACTCAGTTGGTTGCAACGTCATGAAATAGCTGTAGGAACTGCTAGAGGATTACAATATTTACATACAATTGGAGATAGACCATTGATTCATGGCGATATCAAAAGTTCTAATATTCTGCTTAACAGAAACTTAGAGCCAAGACTTGGTGACTTTGGATTAGCACGAGAAGGACCAGAGAAAGCAGATATGCTAGTAAGATATAATTACAAAACTTTATTATATATTTCAATACTATGTAAATTACATAAAACGTATCTTGCTTTATTAGGTGAGTAAAATTCTTGGGACCAAACCTTATTTACCTGACGATTATCTGACTGACAGAAGATTGTCTACAAAAATAGATACTTACAGTTTTGGCATCGTCTTATATGAACTGGCAACTGGTCTTTTAGCTTACGATAATAGTAGACCACAGCACAAATTTCTTAAAGAGTTTGTCAAAAACTTTAATAAAGACGATCAAGCGCAGATTATGGATAAAAAGGCTGGAACAGAGATGAAATCTATTTTCATCAATTTCATACTATTAGGAAATTGGTGCACGAACAAGCTACCAAAGGATAGACCAGAAATGGAGCCTGTTTTTAGAAAATTAAATAATTTATAAACATTAGAGAATTCAATCGTTAAAAATATGCGATAATTGTAATATAAATATATTTTTACAGAATTTATTATTTCATGAACTAGTAAATTATGGAGAATATTCAGTTTTTCCGTGCTAAGATACAATATCTAATGATACATTTCAATAAACGCACGGTAAAAAAATGAACTTATAAGAATAAAAATAAACTACAAATTGTAAAAATCACTCCATTTTTTGATATTAAAGAATTATTGAAATAGAACCATAATGTGTTATGCTTATTATTTTCTAATGCATAGAAATTATCAAATATTGGAGTTAACAACTTAATCTACAAGCAGTGACATCACGTTATTCCGTGTTTAAAAAACCGAAATAAGTAATAGTGAATATGATCATCCATCATTACGATAGTACATCACAACAAAAAAAGTATTTATTTTTTAAAAGTTTTAGTTCACAAAATAGCAACCCCGTGTAAGCGGTTTTTTTTCTCCTCTATATGTCTTACCTATGCTGTATTCATTGCGCATAAAATGGCGCATTCATTTGCCTGTAGTTGCCAGTAGTTGCGCACAGTCGTAAGGTGGACGTTTTCTAGCCTTTCCGGTCTTCGGTAGCGTAGGTTCGCTTGGGCTATAAATTGGGACGAGTAGTGAGCTCGATTTGCAGTGAATACAAGTATTTACTCTAGTAAGTAACAAAGAATGACAATTTTAACAAATTTTATGATGCTCTGAATCGTGGGTATAGTTAACATGTTGCAATTCTATGGAAATCTGCATTCATCGACTGACCAACTCCAACAATACCATGTGTTTGACGTTACTTACTCTGGGATAAATGAATTTTATTAATTTTTGTTGTACAATTAGCAGTCTACATGTAGTCTGTATTCTTACTTCTAATGCATGGATATTGTACATATTTGGCCTATTTTATTACATAGATATTGACATAACCATGTACACTGATTGCGTCATATATTTATTAGAATACTAATTTGCTTACCAGTTATAATAGTATTAAATATTAAATATATTTCAGATTTTCTACAATCATGAGTCGTTTCTTTGCTACTGGCTCAGATTCTGAGTCGGATAGCTCGTCTGAGGAGGAGCAAATTCCCAGGGCACCAGCAGCAGCATTCACAGTCAGTTGAAGAGAAATATACAGTTTTATTTTTTTAAATATAAATTATTATATCATATATTAATTTTTTGTACAGTTTAGTGATGAGGAAGAAGAAACTAAGCGTGTCGTTCGTTCAACGAAAGAAAAACGATATGAGGAGATTACAAATCTTATTAAGCTCATACGCAATTATAAAAAAATTAAAGATATGAGTAGCATGCTATCTAGTAAGTTGAATTGTCCGATCTATATCGTACAATAATTTTATTGAATTAATTGTATGAAATAATATTTTGTCAGGCTTTGAGGATCTTATGCGGGCATATCAAAAAGCATTGCCAGTCATAGCAAAAGAGGAAAATGGACAGACGCCTCGTTTTTATTTGCGGTGTTTGGTGGAAATGGAAGATTTTATAAACGAAGTTTGGGAGGATCGTGAAGGACGTAAAAATTTGTCAAAGAACAATTCAAAATCATTGACCTCCCTGCGGCAGAAACTTCGAAAATATAATAAAGAATTTGACGAGGATATCGCTAAATTCCGCGAAAATCCTGAGCAGGATGACGACGAAGAAGAAGAGAAAGGTGAGAAATCCTAATTTCTGGTTCTGTAACTATGATTCGACAGTATGTACATGTGATATCATTATAGCTGAAGAAGCAGAAGAATCTGAAGAAGAAGAAGATCGTGCTGCTGCTTTCAAGAAATCTGGTTCTGAAGCGAGCGCACCAGACGTCTCAAAATTCAAAGTAAGTTCTTCATTGTTTTTAAAACTCAAATTTGACCTAGTAATAAAGAATTTTTTAATCTTCATTCTTAACATTACAGAAAGGACCAGCCGACGGAGATGATGGAAGTGAGAGTGAGTCGGATTGGGGAAGTGATTCCGATAGCGATAGCACCAGCAGCGAAGATGATGGACAATATCAAAATATCCGTGAGCGTTTTATTAAAAAGTAAGAACTTTGAAGGTTATAGGAGAATAGAAAATATAGAAAACATGTAGACTTATTCAAATCCTCCAATCACAGAGCCACTGACAAGGATGAAGATGAAGACAAAGCAAAGAAGAAGGAGCAGAGAAAGGAACGCAAGGATAAAGAGAGAAAGAAGAAGCGCGATGAAGATGACGGCGAAGGCGAATGGGAAACTGTTAAAGGTGGTGTCGCAATTCCTTCGGAGAAGCCGAAGATGTTTGCCAAGGATGCTGAGATCAATGTAGCAGCCGTCCTTAAGAAATTGACGGAGGTTATCGCAGCACGAGGCAAGAAGCGCACCGACAGAAGAGAACAGATCGAACTTCTACACGAATTGCAACAAATCGCAGAAGTTCATAATCTTGGTCCAGCTGTTGCTGTTAAAATCAAGTTCTCTATCGTGTCTTCAATATTTGATTATAACCCGAAAGTATCTGATGCCATGAAACCGGAGTACTGGTCCAAGTGAGTATAAAAGTTTCACAAAATTCACCAGGTCTTTTACATTTTTTTTATTGTGAAATGAACTTTTCAATAGGCTTCTGGAACGTATCTCAGAAATGCTAGATATGCTGCTCAACACTCCGGATATGATAATAGCCGAGACCATTAATGAGGATTCTGAAGAGTATGAAACACCTCCCTACAAGTTACATGGATGTGTTTTAACTTTAGTTGAACGTCTTGACGAAGAGTTCACCAAATTACTCAAGGAATGCGATCCCCACAGTAATGAATACGTAGAGAGGTCTGTATTTAAAAAATCCAAATAAGATGCACAGTCTGTAATATAGTAAATTTCTACGATAGAATAATCCTATAATTATTTTAATGCAGATTAAAGGATGAAAAGCAAGTAGCAGCAATCATCGACAAGGTACAAGAGTACCTGGAAAGACAAGGCAATGTATCTGAACTATGTCGAGTTTATCTGAGAAAAATTGAACACCTGTATTACAAGTTTGATCCGAATGTCTTGAAGCAGAAAGAGGTAAGATTTTAAAAATATTTTTCGTATATTAAAAGGCCCTTATACTTACAGATTTTACTGTACTTTAATCTCTATCTTTAGGGAGAAATTGGACCTGAAGTGGTAACTTCAGTTCAGGTTATGGAGAAGCTATGTAAATACGTTTACGCACGTGACGGCACAGACCGTCTCAGAACACGTGCAATTCTATCGCATATTTATCATCATGCACTTCATGACAATTGGTTCCAAGCTCGTGACCTCATCTTGATGTCTCATTTACAAGAAACAATTCAGCACTCTGACCCAGCTACTCAAGTAAGTCATGCCAATATAATATAACCATCCGGCAACTTTTTATATCATGATATCAGACATTTCTCTACTGTTTTACTTCCTTTTAGATTCTGTACAATCGTACTATAGCGCATTTGGGATTATGTGCCTTTCGTCATGCCAACATTAAGGATGCGCATAACTGTCTTGTGGACCTAATGATGACAGGCAAGGTTAAGGAATTGCTTGCACAAGGTTTACTACCTCAACGTCAACACGAGCGTAGTAAAGAGCAGGAGAAAATTGAGAAACAGCGACAAATGCCATTCCACATGCACATCAATCTAGAACTTCTCGAATGCGTCTATCTTGTGTCTGCGATGCTCATTGAAATTCCCTACATGGCTGGTACGTTGCTCTTAACGTATTTTATTTAAATAATACCTGTTGAACCATGTTTTATAAGAATACTCCGATGATTTTAGCACACGAATTCGATGCGAGACGTAGAATGATTTCTAAGACTTTCTATCAGCAGCTGAGATCGAGCGAACGTCAGTCCCTTGTTGGACCACCGGAGTCAATGAGAGAACATGTTGTAGCTGCTGCGAAGGCAATGCGGAATGGCAACTGGTCTGCTTGCAACAATTACATTATCAATGAGAAAATGAATGCTAAAGTATGGAATAATTACAATGTTGAGTTCCTTGATAACAGTATAGTCTATCATATTCTACAATTTAATTCTCATATTATAGGTCTGGGATCTGTTCCATCAAGCTGATAAGGTTCGCGATATGCTAACCAGGCTAATCAAAGAAGAAGCGTTGAGAACGTATCTCTTTACTTATTCCCATGTCTACGACTCTATCTCTATGCCTACCTTGGCAGAGATGTTCCATCTGAAACGACCTGTAGTTCACTCTATTATCAGTAAAATGATCATTAATGAAGAGCTCATGGTAAGTTCTACCCTATGATTGATTTTATCAGTGATTGCTTAGATCGTAAATAATCGAATTTGATTTCTCTATCGTAATCTGTTAGGCATCATTGGATGATCCAACTGAAACAGTAGTAATGCATCGCAGCGAGCCCAGCCGTTTACAATCATTAGCCTTGCAACTCACTGATAAAGTGAACAATTTTGTTGATTCCAATGAACGCATCTTTGAAATGAAGCAAGGTAATCAGAAATTTTGTTTAACATTAGTCATCATTATTTAGGAAGCATAATCATCTAATTTGTGTCCTTAATCAATCTCTAGGTAACTTCTTCTCGAGGGGTGGTAACCAAGGCAACTTCAGGGGCGAGAGACAAAATTATAATCGACAGGGACAGGATTGGGGCCGTCAGAGACGTGATCGTGATCGTAATCGTGAAGAGAATCGTAACTATTAAACGTATAACTAAGTATAATTATTTACAGGAATACGAAAATAACATCAACTGTCCAAGAACTTTCTTTTTTCTATTAATATTTTTTCTTTACGTACCATACGTGCATATTACCGACCTTACATCCTTAATCCAATGACAATGTACATCAGAAAGTGGTATATTCATTTGAAAAAAATAACTTTAATACTTTTTGAAAGTATCTCTGCATAACAAATACACCGTGTAATGTATAGTGTTTACAGTGCTTTTATATATTTTGTATCGTTTCGATAAGTTTATTTCCTGTCACGAGAGAATCTGAAGCTAGGACGATTCGTGTGCCTGTTGATTTTTCCACTAATCGACAAGCCGATATTTCTCCGTAGGTTATCCCTCCCACAATACAAAGTACTATGGTTTTTGGTTGCACCGGGCCACGTAGGCCGCTTATGGTACATTCGGGTAAATTTGTTAAGTCATCGAAACTTTTGCGATCCGTATCTTGAGATAGGACGATGTTTGCTAGTTGTGCCTGGAGAAAATTCAGATATTTGCGTGTACTTTGGCATTAAAAAAAAGGTAAATGAATATGGGGAAACATACTATAGCTGGGATATATGCGCCACTGTAAACGTAGCTGGGACACATAGGAGCTTTCAGATCCAATCGTTTTGATTGACTTGGTAATAATTTAAGACGTTGTGCTCCTGCGGTCCATTCACTGGCCCAATTTGGCAGCTTGTGAAGGAAATTCTCAGTTCTGTAACGTAATAGGCCCGAATTGGCCATCTTGTTGAATAATGGTATATTCTGATAGCCATGGGCATGAAGATGTGACTTTTGAATTGATTGCAATTCTGAGTGCGTTGCTCCATCACTGGTGATAGAGAGTAAAGACAGAAGACGGAGGCTCCTCAAGGGATAATCGTCTGTGATAAGAAAGTATATTAGTTATGAGTTTATAAGATTATATAACTGAGTATTAATTGCGGAAGAGAGAATACCGATATTTTTTTCTATGTAATCCAAGCATTCTTTTCTGCCATGGCATTCCAGTATAGACTTCTCTATAGACTGAAGAATTTCAAATGCTGATCCTAGTGCACCGACTATAGCCTCACAGGCAGAAATGTGAAAAGACAATTGTCGCTTTATTTCTGTTGTCTTCTGCAATTTTGTAGTCACGTAACGTTCCATTTCTGCCAGTTTCATGGTTTGCGTAGCTTCCTGTTCAGCTGGTACAATAACATAATAGTTAGAAACCTTGTTAAAGTAGGAGATGAATAGTAGGTATGGCGTAACATGCACTCATTATAGATGAAGTGGAAATTACATTTAAGAGACTTAGCCTGACCGCGCAGAATTGGAAAAACATCACTAAAATGTCTATCCCTTACTTCGCTGTAGACATGATCCTTCCTGGGATCTAATTTTGTTTGCGAATTACCTAGCACTGCTGTGCCTGTATTTATTTCAAGTACTTCACTCAGCAGGCCCAAATAAGTGACTGGTGTTAAAAGGGCAGGGGCTAGGTCATAGTTTCTGTCCATTAATATTAAAGCTCCTAATTGATTATCTACGCCTGAATGAGGCAATGACTCCTCCATGGATTCCATCATAGTCAGTGTCTGTTTACTGTATTTTCCAAGGGATACTGTGAGCTTTGGTTGACCCAATAATAGTTGTAGCGACCATAAGCTCCTTGCCAAAGCTGGTAAGAGACCACCATCCTTGTGATAGTAAAGATCAGAAAACATGGGCATCTCCAGAGATAGAACATTTTCGTCAATACGTATTAATTCCCAGGACAGTGAACGGACGCTTACGAGTCCAGCAAGACCTGATTATTTTCATAAATTGTGTATGTATAAGAATGTTTGTTTCTACATATTTTTTCAAAATTAATTTATAAACCTTCTTCTTCGATGAGTGAATATAAAACTGCAGGTACCAGTGGAGCTACCAGTAAATGATGGGATAAACCTCTTGACTGTGTCTGTTCAGACTGTATTTGATCAAGTACTCGTTTACAGGCAATGAGATCACAAGATACAATAAAAATACGTTGTGTGTTTGCAGGGTTCAGTCCTTGCTCCATTTTAAAGATCTTGTCGACACCATGACGTCTGAAATAGAATATTGTTTTTACTGTAAAACAATATGACAAACATTATCAATTCAATTTACCTTAGTACAGTAACACCAATAAAACAATCTAATAACTTCATTAGCTTATGCTCAATTATTAAGTCCTTCCGACCAGGAATTGAATCTAAGATTTCAATAAATCTTCTCTGACTTATCTGTTGGAACGTGTCCAGTCTGTCATCCAATGTGATATCCATTCTTGAAACATTAAGCATCTAAAACACATATTTATATTAAAAAATAAAATATCTTGAAACCTGAAATACTTTACCTGCCTTGGATGAAAAAGATGTTGCAATTAGTTACTGAACTGTCAAGGTTCTGTATACCATTGAATACGCCGTCAAAATAATACGATACACAAATCATGCACATTATTTAGTGTCATCATTTAAATGTCAAAATAATCAAGCAAGTTTAATGAGCATTCATCGAACATGCTTGATTTTACTTGACTATTTCTTGAAATATATCTTATCCAAAACATAGCTAAAAAACGAACTCTTTTATGTGATACTTTGAACTTATTTAATCAAAAAGAACACGTCTTACAAAAGACCTGCAGGTTATACTAAATGGATAGGTTGCACGATCAGCTGTTCAATATTACCGTACGGGATCGTTCATATATGGGACCATCAATACAATTTTGGAGCAAGAATTACAAGAAATAATATAAACAAATAATATCAATTAGGACTTTCTAAATGCAATAAAAAATTGTATATCGTGTAAAATGATAATATTGTCATATCTCTACCTGAATATTTGTATTTTCGATCTGTTATATATTTGGAATATCTAGAATATTTAAACTGATTGGGACACCTTATGCCAGCTTCACACAAATAATTTCTGTATTTCTATGATAAATATTGAAGTTACGGTCGTCGATCTAACTTCAAATTGTCGGAGACTTTCCCGTAAAATTTATAAAGGTTATTTAAAAATGGCGGACGCATCGTCTTCCGATACTACCTCAGATTGTTGCATTGAATGTTTTTCTGATATTTCCTCTGAAAAGTCCTCGCTGGAGTACGTTATAGTTGGCCAGAAGCCGTGCACATTACATCGACGAAGCAAGAGAAACTTCCTGCAGAAGTTATTCACGCGAGAGGTCAGATACTTAACCTTCAAATAACAAAGAAGACATTATTGGAATTGACAGGCCTCTGCACCTGTCAAGATTCATTGGGGCTTTTTGTGAAAAAATTCACTTTAAACAAAATGAGCATCTCTTAATTATTAACGGCATTGTGTCATTGTCTGATATTGTTATGGAAAATGCTGGTATTTGCAGAGATGAAAGTAGAATTCTCTGTAATTTCTGGTATATATTTCTTATACTTTTATTTTTCGATGACAAACGAATATTTTTTTTACTTAATTCTTTATGATTTGATTTAAATTAAGAATATTTTATTTGTTTGAATTATTATGTTATACATTTTTTTAATCTGTTTAATAGATTAAAGGTTGTTTATCAACGCACAACAATGCAACAGAGGAAAGATTATTTACTTCTGTTCCTCCATGGCGGCATTTACCACTTTCACATGTGGTACCCAAATCTGCACTGGAAGCTGGGTATGTTGCTGAACATAATTGTATTGGATTAATTTTAAATTACTTAAATTATCAAATTTTATGTATGATGCAGTTTTAAGAAATACGAAGGTGTAAAGATGCGATTGGTACACTATAATGGTTTTATTTGTTTTCTATGTATACTGAAGGCATATTGTCATGGGCTTGACACAGTGTGGTCAGTTTTTACTGACTTATACATACAGTTTAGATGTAAGCGGCAACAGCTCTCTATACAAATACTTATTGCATTGGTGGGCATTCACGCCAAATCGTGTGGCGCGAAAGGTTGCCGAAGTCACCCTATTCGGTAATTACACCATCTACAGAGAGCTGAATATAGTTATATCACAGTGGCCTATGGAAAGGAACAAATTGGTCATACATGGGCTCTGGTAAGTAAATAAAAATACAATGTTTGAATTTTAACGTCATAAGGAATCAGTAGCTGTGTGATCAAAATATTTTCTTCAGTACGGATTGGTTGCACTTGCAACCAACAGACAGAGCCTATTTGACCATAACTACTGTACCTTCGCTACAAAATTGCAAAGACTGTTTGAAAGTTGCTGCATCTTACGAAGAGGAAGGTAAAGAAATCAAATAAATAAATTCTGGGAATAACGTACGCTAAATAATATCATTGCTGTTTTTGATCTTGTAGATTTAGCAGCTAATTGGGATGGATGCGTTAGGTGTAACTGCTTACAGCATGGACTGACTGTTCACACAACTTATGAAGTTATCTCACCGTATCCAAGGTTCCGGGCGGGAGTGTGTTTGAAATACTGGAATCACGTTGTAGTGAATACAGGGAACTTTTTACACGTACTCAGGGTAGATCTGGACACAGCTAAGTCTAAGAGTCAGAAGCCGAGCGATAAACAGGACTCAGTTATAGTTGACACCGTAACCTTAGACATAAGCGATGTCGAGGAAGTGGATGATACCAAGACAGAGTGTTTCGAAAACCTAGATGATAAAACGGACGCGACCGAGAATACGAGCGAACGATCACCAAATCGTGAGCCAGTTCCTGAACGCGACGAAATAATGAAAACCGAAGAACGACTCGGACACGAGATACCGTCAAATACCTCAAGCATTAATCAAAGCGACAATATCTGTGATATTAGTAAGCCTAGTAATAGCTTAAGCGTTAAAGTGTGCGAGTGTACGGATAGCATCGAGTGCAAGTGCGATAACCTGAACTACATCTCGCGGATGGAGCAGCAGGCGATATCCGTCAGAGACAAGATCCTCCAGGACTTCTGCGAGGACGTGTCCCAAGAGTTGAATATCGGTAGCGACCTAATCACCCTAGTGAAGCATCCTTCTTGTTCACCAAGATCAACACCACAACGACTTCCAGCGGATCTGCGACCCCTTACATGGTCTTCGCCAATACTTACTCCACCCTCGGATATCCTGAGGACACGTAACTCCGAATCTAGTCATAGGAGTATCCGTAGTCAGAGACCGATATCTCCACAACCTGGTGCATCAAATGAGAGCAATGCTATTAGTATAACTTCTATTAATTCACCGTTGCATACGCTCTCTATAAGCCCATCTCCGTCATGTTCTCCACGTCTTATGTCTCCGCCTATGACGAGGTCCTTCAGGCATCTCAGTCCTCGTAAGAGATCTACCTTGCAGTCTCCACCTCCATCAAGCTTAACGTCACAACCCAGGACACGAGCCTCTCACAAACTCATCCTCGAGGCAGAGAAGGCTTATGAGTTCACGGATGAATCTCAAGAAACCTGTGAGAAATTGAGCTCCTTCAGGAAACGAAGACTCGCTGACAAGAAGTATGAATTCTGTGATGAAGCTGAGGATGCTGAGAATATTGTCCCTTTCAAACACATACGAGATCAGTCTAAGCCTCGAGGATGCTCTATACATCAAATATCACCAGTCACGTCACCGGTTATACCCAATGGTAGGCGACGCAGAATGGATTCTGATCATAGCGACTCCAGTGAATTAAATCCTCAAGATCCAAATTCTTTGAATGATATTCAGAGTATGGAAACAGGTGAATAGTACCAGTTATCATTTAGAGAATTATCATTAAGATATTATGCCTTATGATTACAGCTGAGAAATGCGTACTGCGACCACTCAATCAAAATCAAATACCAAATGGTGGCTTACACAGAGATCGATACAGCAAATTATGTCCCAATTTCTCTCCGCTGGTTCCTAAAGTCACTCTACAGTATCCTACAATAAAATGTACAGCGCATTTCAAAAGAAGCTACATCGAATTGGATGACGAGATGGTGTCTGTAATCACTGACGTTGAAGGTTTGGAGAACATACTGTCCCAATGTATTTTTTTGTTTTTTTCCTTACCATCCTTCATTAATTTTTATTTTTATTGTAATAATTATATGAAAATGATTTTATAACAGATGATGAAACTGGAGGTTATGTCAGTTATCAGTGTGTACTACCAATGCATGTGCATGGGTCTGGCTATGCACAAATGCAAATGATCAGCAATAGTAAAGCAGAAAAGATGGTAATACGCTGTTGAAAAAAATTATAAAAATCAATACAGTACAGGTCGAGTTTGTCTCAATTGATATGAACCTTTTTCAGATGGTACCTTGTGTATTGGTGAACCAATTAAGTTTTGATATTGAAACATTCTCACATCATATCGCAGACTGGATTTGTACAAGATTCAAAAAGAAATACTGGCATTGCAGTGATTATGATATTGAAATCATCGATGTCTGCGCTCTTAGTGGGGATGTCATTTGTCTGCTTATTATGAAGATACAAGCTAGCGAACTATGCAATCAGACACAATGGTATGTCTACTTTATTTACTTTCATAAATTTAATCTTATAGAATTTCATTCGCAGTCGAATTTCTGTCTCTTTAGCTCACAGGACAGAAAGCAATATGAGGTGGGTTGTAAGTTCACATGGAATATCGATACAAATCAATATAGAATAACAGATGTCTTACCGATGGCTGAAGTCAAACCAAAATCATCGAAACCATTAAAAGTACCTCACTTTCGAAGCCCATTATGGAATCCAACGAAACTAATGGCCCCCCAGATGCGAGAAAAAATCCAACAGCCATATGCACGTGCCGTACGGTTTCTTCACAACGACATGACACTCGCAGGTTTGTTTCATCAACTAGAATTAAGTCGTATTCTATCTTAATTTTCGTATCGTCAACATTCGCAGGAGAGTCCATTACCAGGCTTCACGACCTGGACAACCTCGTGGAATTTTACATAACTCCCTTGCCCAACGATCCGTTGATTTAGTGAGAAAAGAAAATCTTGAGCAATGACACGCAATGCAAATAATAAATTATTATCTGATGACTGTGACTAGATTATTCTTATATCATTCAATAATCAGCAAGACCTTTTACTTCATTCATAAAGCGTACAAGGTAACTGGTGATAGTTTATTATGAAAATCATCAAGGGTAACGTTTACAGTAAATATAATGGTCATTAATTGTATGACTACACTAGTTAAAGAAAGATCACGCGGAATGTTTACCAAGCATTAATATAAGAGATTCGTCAATAATCTGAAGTATTAATTAATCTATCAAAGAGAGGCATATTTCATTTGCATTTTATAACACATTAGACACGCATAATGTACAGGCAAAATGGCACATGAACATTTCACTTTCTACGTTGTAACCGTTCAAAGTTCTATTTCAATTTTCGAACGACATATTCGTCGTCTACAGGAAGGATAATTGGTACAGGTAAATACTAATGTTAACTAATTAAATTGATTGTCAATAAATATCATTAGCATGATGACACAGGAAAAGTAGAGAAGAGGATAAAGAAAATAATAACAACGAACAGGTACTTGGTCCCAAAACGAATCGATGACACAGAAAGGCGGATATATAGATAGAGAAACGGGACATTAACTGTAGGGTCTTCTTCAATGCTCGCTCTTTTCTATCTAAACTATATTTCTTCCGGATCTTCATGATATCCGTTAACTTACTCAAATTTGTGATTTTTTCCTTGTAGTGAGCAACATTTTGACTCAAGCGTATCGCATATTTTGAATATATTCGGTATCACAGAATAATATACGGCGAGAGATAATTAAAGCTTATTCATACGATTATAGTTTTTTCAAAATATGTAGGCTCTTTTAAAATTATGTGGATAAATATAAAAAGATAAGTCAACATGTATATCTTTGTCTATAGGGACAATCCATTGAATTCTATCTGATAATTTTCTCTCCCACCAATATTTTCTATACTACCTCACTCATAAAATTAGCTATAGCATTAATTATTATGCACGGTAGAAATGGACATGAATTACAGAAAATTTTCTTTTACCATTGTTCATAAAGATACTTTGACGGGAGGTCCTATGGTAACGTCAGATCCGACTCCATCCAATTTTAAACCAGCAAGCATTTCTTCCCACGCGTTCATACATTGCTGATAATACAAGATTTGCTGATTACTCATTGTAATCAGCATATTTTTCAAATCGTCACGTTTCTCTGTATTCCAACGATCAATATCACTACGCAAATTTTCATTTGCGCATTCGAGACGGTCTTGAAGAAATTCTGAACGTTTGGCCAATCGTGGAATAGTTTGTCCTAATCGTTCTAATTTCTCATCACGAGACTCACCTTTCCATAAGGATCCACTCCAACTTTGAGTCGACACGGAACCATTTGAAGCGCCCATAAACTATTTTGATCACAGAATATATATTGTGTAACATATTTTGATAAAATTATATTAGAGTTAACGTGTACATACAATTTTACGCATACCTGATCTTTTTCCTGTCTTCTTTTTGCCAACTCATCGACTGTCATCTCGTAATCTATTTGTATGGAATCACGACGAGCTAGGGCATCCTTGACAGCATCTACGTAGGCGAGATACTCCCGTTCTTGAGTTGGGACAGTGTCGAGCAGTCTTTGGTGTGCTGTTGCGTTCGATTCTACCGCCTTTGCAATGGCTAGTAATATTGGAGCCAGCTCAGGCTCTGATGTAGACCACAATGTGAATATTGGATGCAGCTGGTGCAACTCCACTAAATATTCTGTAGGAAATAAATAGAAAAATGAAAATATATCACTAACGTTATGATAATATAAAAGGAAAAAATGGTTATTAGTTCTACTGTATGGACCTTGGCGCTCTTTATGTATGCGATGATTGATTTTATCTATAGTTGACAGTTTATCACTGAGTGATATACAGTAATCGCGTATCTGTTCAAATTCCAGATGACGTTGCTTCATAGTGTACACGCTGGCCATATTTTGTAGAGAATCTGTCATTTTAACTAGGACGTTACCACGATTTTTACGATGAATTGAGAATTCCTGTTGATACAAGAGATATGTTTATAGGGCTTAGGCAAATAGAATATTGTGTTAGGTAACTAAGGATACATACCGCAGGCTTTGCAGTTAGGAATATATACAGACTCTTGTCACAACTAAGGATTGGATGATTGACAACTCGGTTTAAGAATGCATTTAATAGTTTCATACGTGCAATGATAAACTCTTTAGAGTAACGGTCCAACTGTGCTAGTAGAGTATGTTTTCCTGGCATTGGCTGTAATAGAGAAATATAAAGGACCTAATATATTTACAACCAATGATGTATATAATACATGATAGCTGTACATACAGGTATAATATGTGTTGGATAACTATCCACAAGTTTTTGACGAAGCCAAATAAAATCATTGTAACGCCTGCGGACAATATATTCTCCTTCCTCAAACTCTGGACGTGATGTCTACAATAAAACAGCTTTGTGAAGTTTATGTATATAAATCAAAGGTTCCAATACACTTACCCTGGTAGAGATACGAAATGTTATAAAAGTTTCTAGAGTATCGAGATGCTTCTGTGGATTGTCCACCTTAACTTGCAAATCCCGAGAATCTAATTGGAAATCAGATATCTCTTGTTCTGGCAAAGTAGAAAAGCTGTCGATGGATGGAGAGGCTACCTGAATGTCAGTACCAGACATAACAACTAAATACATGCTATTGACAGTAGAAAAGTTATTAAATATAAAAAGTCCTAATCCTTACAACAGAACCTTCTAGAGATGTGCTATAATTTGACAGAAAATCCGTGTCACGACTTTCTTGCTTGACAAGACCGCCAGCAGCCATTGAGCTCACTTCTAGGATAGCCGATTCGCCCATCGCCTTTTCATCAAAGGATTCTACCTCCGCTTCCGAAGAAGTCATCATCTTTTAAAACTTTTAAATAAACCGAAACGTTGAAGGATCTTGACAGCACAAACAACTCACGGTGCCGAGAAATAAACGCAAAGACTACGCGAAGTCCACCTTATCGGTTAACTTCAATGTTACCTCTACTTCGCGGATAAGACACTGTAATTGTGAACGGACTTTAATGTTGCGTGATTCGAATTAGGTACTCATCACGAATGGCTAGAAAGTTAAAACGACTATGGAAAAAAATATTTTATGTACATACGACATGTGACTCCTACGTATAATATGGGGGAGAAGAGCTTTTATAGTGCTAATTGTAGGTAAAGCAACAAGGTTCGTTACTGAAAAGCGGATGTGATAAGTCTAACCGCTCTTCAACATTCATTGGTCATTTCGTCTGACTCAGTTATAATATAGGATAGCGTTGCATACTAATTAATGCTTTGACTCTGATAATTTACACAAAATCAATCAATGTTGATGATCTATTTTTTTTCATTGATTAACTATGTTATATCAAAATGTATGCATACCTTATAGTTGGTCATGGTGTTTCGTATTCTACTAAAATCGAAATTACATTGTATTAATCTGATCTCTTTTGCATGTTAGTTTATTGTTTCACTATTAAACAAACTTTGTATAACAGTGGAAAGATATTCAATATCTATTTATAAATCATATCATCTTATTTTTTACTAGGAACTGACTTAGTCTTTGGTATTGTACTTTGAATATGAGCGTATTTTGGATTTTTTTTCACGCCAACAAGAGTACTGGATAGAGATGGTGATGTATTACTAGAAAATGATGAAAAACCTGATGAAACTAATGAGTTTTCTCTTCTGTCTTTTGGCTCATTAGGTGATATTTCTCTTCTCTTAGAGCTCGGCTGTAGAGATGATGTAGATATTAATTTTTTATTGGAAGCAGATCCTCGAGTGTTTCCTGAAGAAGACTTTGAAGACGTTGGTGTTATCGGTGCACCCATGGTTATCGATCTTCGAATTTTTGGACGCGGTATAGATCGCACCACGTTTGAAACTCGAGATAGCCCAGGGATGTGTCCAATGGCAGATAATCGCCGGATGGGCCTTATAGTCTCTTCGAATGCCTAAAGTTTGTACAAATAACAGGAAAAGGAATAAAATGATTTTCCATCTATAGGAAACGATAACATCAGGTACATTTTTTAACTCATCCTTATAGACATGCTGCATAATGTAAAAGCTACCTGAACTTGAAGCTTACGTTGCGGTCAGAATATAGAAATATTAATAAAAAATATTTAAATATAGACTGAAATACCTTTAAAGTACTCGACTCGCTACCAGTACTTGTCATACTGTCACCGTGAAGTAACGATATGGTATTAGCAGTGATATTTTGGATCTCGTATAGATTTTGCAAAACATCTTTATTATTCATGAAAGGTTCTCGCAATTTCCAGTCATAAGTGATTTTATTATCCATTGTGAATGTGTCTGATCTTTGCAACGCATCAGAATTAACAGCAGGACTCGATCGTGAAATGAACTATAAAAAGAAAATTTTTAATTATTTAAAAATCGTTCGATTTTTTATTGCTCTCAAATACCTTCTTTTCACTGGACTTTGTATTGGCGTCTTCATTGCCTACATCCATTTGTGTTTCACTCTTTGGTGTCAATTGACCGGGATCAGGAAAATCATGCGAGTCGCCTTTACTCGTAGATGCAGTCAGTGTATCCAATGATCTATACCTTAAAGAATTCCATAAAAAATTTTAATAAACAAATTTCTTTTATGAAATTAGTATTCTCTCAATTATACATTTGATACTCCAACCTGCTAGGCATTTTTCTATTGTTATCGGGAGAAACTGGAAACATTTTTGGTATGTCTGGTGCATCTGGAGTTGTAACAATTATACCAATTGCAGGTGTTCTCATTGTTGAATTTTCAAGCTCTCCCTTTGCCAATTGAATAATTGCATTTAATAATTCCTTTATTGCAATCGAAACATCATCTTGTATTTCATGAAATGTATTGTTATTCATAATTTCATTCTGTAAAGGGTATATATTTTTTAAGCATAAGAAAAATATTTAAATAATATTTAATAAGTATTCAAGTGTAAAAATCTATCTTATTAATACATAATAATTATACATATATGTTAAATTCAAATAGTTTTATTCACCTGAAGTTCTTCGCCATATTTTAAATCCGGTGGCGAATACATTTGTATCATTCCACTTATAAAATGATCGCTATTACAATCTAACATTTTCTTTTTAGAATTATTATTATCCACTTGAAAATTGTAACCAATTCTGAAAAGAAGTTTTTCTAGCTCGATCTGATTGACGTCTTCTGGCTAAGAAAATTTGATTAAAATAATGTAAGGAAATATTGCATCGAAGATCACTGCACAGAAAATAGAAAAAAAATATATTTCTCACGTCCTTTGGAGTCTCTTTTGAGGCCCAGAGAAAAACCCAATCAAGAAATTCCTTCTTAAATTTCACACTATTCATCCTTATTCTTCTTTAGTATTCACGTGTAATATTATATCGCTATTAGAACAGCTTTCTACTTTCTGATCAGTGTAATCGAATATCGAAAATTCACCGTACGACCTTACGTGTTTACATTTTTTTACACTACGTATATAATGATTGGAAAAAATCATCAACACTTTCATTTGCAAATGGAGAATAGCTATTATTTAAAAAAATTTAAATAGCTTAGCATTCAGGACAGAATGTGATATTTGCATTTCAAAAAAATTATCTTTGAATTCATTTAGAATTTAAGTATCAAAAAGAATGGTATTAATCAAACTGTCGGAGTTAGAAATTTCTTAAATATCGCTATAAAGTGCGGGATCTCAAACCCTCTATGATTGGTTGTAAGCTTAGGTTCCATGTGTTGGTAAAGTGTGTATTCACTAAGCGAACAAACAGTATTCAATGAATTCGGTTGAATATTTGGTTGTTGTTTTATTCCGTTTACTGTTTGCGCTCAGTAGTAATATGATTTTTAAACGTTTTGAACTTGTTAGCAAAACTCATTGAACCATCAAATATTCGAAAACATGGAGATCTTGCATCACCATGGCAACGACAGTTGGCTGCGATTTTTTATCCGATCCGTAGAAACGGTAGTCGTGGTAACACATTTTCAGTGTTACAAGAAAAATTTGTAATAATGAATAGATACTTTTCATTAACAAAAGATCATCCAGGCATAGCTGTTGTGATAATAAAAAAACAATGGTTGCCAAAAAGTCCTAAATATTGTTTTTTCGTGAAGAAACGATCGACGTTTCACGGTAAGTAACCTACAGAGGGTTAATCGGTTACATTAAAATTTTCCCATAATTCAATAAATATACAATTTCTTATTAAATTACAATAAATAGGTATAAGAAATACAACAAAGTTGTTAATTTAAAGACAACGGCGTACATCTGTTTCCTGAGAAGCTAATTTTTTCCGTAAAAATTATTTGAATGTTCGCGGGCAATCGAACCTCCCGCACGTCATACATGCTATCATTCATTAGAGATAAAATATCTTAACTAAAGAAGTCACGGTACATAATCTGAAGTACCAGGGTATTACCTACGCAGATTATCATTCTCCTTAATCTTTACCTCCTAGTTATATTTCAAAAGGCCAAGAAGAACGTCATAATGCGGCTAGTCGGGACAGTGCGTGGCTGCCCCTTGATACTAGTTGCGCGCGCATGTCAAACAAAGAGTTCCTTAGAGATGATAGAGCTTTCAATTTCTACGTTAGAATTTCGTTTAAAGTTAAAGGGAAGCGTATAGAAAAATTTATCCGAATTCTCGACAGTCTTTTGCGATTTCCAGAGATCCTCGCGGGGTTCGTTGGAGGCGATAATTGCGAGAAGAAAAATGAGTGAGCAGGCGTGGTCGTGGCACGGTTAGTGATGCCGTAGCCAAGGAGACGGTCAGCAGCAGTCAACTGACACTACGTGCAGCCGTCGTCAACAAAATATACCCTTTGGCAGTGTGTTGCTAGTTTCTTCTTTCTGTATTTCCGCGTGGTTTCCCGGGCGACTGTCGAGGATTGGCCCACGGAAAATCCTGGAGACCGGGCGGTCGCCGGGGCCGCGCAAGACCGACCGGGCGTTGAGTATTCTTACTCGCCATTCATGAAGACAGGTGAGGAAAAAGATCCTACAAACGAGTTATGAGCTCTTCTAGGCATGCATTTCCTCATCCTTCTTGTAATAATATTGTATGAATGTGCTCTTCCTGCTTTTACCATTTTTAAAAAAAATATATCTGGCTTAAGGAATCGGGTTCCTGATTTCGTCTGGAATAGGACGAGATCGTCGATTGACGAACAATCCTGATTCTGTGCTCTGTATTTATCATAATTTATTATAAGTGTTATGCCTGCATCAAGATAATTATAATGTTAATCTATACATTCGATATTATGACTGTTTATTAGCATGAGGGAAGAACTTTTATTCCTACTACTAATATAAAAGTGCAGGTCGAGATGTTCTTGAAACTTCTTCAACACTTATTCCCCAACGTTTATGGTTATACTGCATAGAGCATATGCACAAAATTCTTAAGTTTTCTAAGATTTATATTATGTTTAGGATTTCTAAATAAAATTGAACAACCTGCAAAATATTTTTTCAAATGGGAATTTATCTATTGCATGAAGATTTGCATAACTGTAATATTCTTGTCTTCGCATAAGTTTCACAAATGAAATATGTTGATGGTTTAAAAAATACATATCAACTAATGGTGAATGTTATGTTTAATTGAGACGTTATAATGTATTCGTGCTCCATAATTTTTTAAATATTAACCTTGTTGAGCATTACTCCGAGTATGGTCTGGGGAAATACTATTGAAGTACTGTAAAGTAGAATCGCAAGGGTTCTTAGGGTACAGATCTAATGTTGTTAGAAGTGAATTAGAATTATCCCAATCAACTTCATTGTATAGTTACTAACTGAAGTATCTGACTGATCAAGTAAAGAACAATTGTTGCCAGTTCTATCACTGTTTATTGCAGTTTTCTTGTAATACAGAATATTATTGGTTCACGTCCAGAATGACAATATTCAATTATATTTGGCTATTGTTAAACGTTAATTGTAACCCAGTATATGCACAATGCATCCCCTATTATTATTAGACACAAGTGAATTCCTTCTATTATGTCCCACGAATCTTTATTATAGAATCAGCTAATATATAGAAGCCTTGAAAATTTCTTTTGAACATACAGTATTGAAACGAAAAGTATACCTCCTATTGAACGCCTACCTTCGATGTCGCTTTCGTATTACTTCTTTCATATTAAAACCTAGGATTCCGAATTTACGACATCTTTGAGATAAGAATCTGGACCTTCAGAATTTTATGACAAATGAAAAAAACGTTTGATACATGTTTTCGGAAGATTTCTTAAAAATGATATCCTTCTTGGACTCTTGCTTTCATGTTTCTGATCTGTAACACTTGCCCTGGTTCTCATGCGTCACGTCCTTTTATTTGTATCTTATAGGCATCTGTTGAGATTACTAAGAATCTACAAAAAGCATATAGTCACCAAGCTTGCTCATCTTTTACATCTTTGCTCTTTGAAGTCATTTTCTAGTAATACAGAACGGTCAATATACAAGCCGAATAATCTGATATAAAAATTGAAATGAGTGAATTCACACGTTCTGCTGCAATTTAATATAGCATTCGTAATCATTCATGTGTATGAATTGCAATAATGAAATGCTATAAGCTTTTGCAATAAGGACTTTAGATAGAATAGATGTTATACACGCTTATAATTGCGATTAAAATATAATACTTGTGCAGCCATGCCAAATATCCTTTTTGCTTTGACCATGCAATATCATGGATTAAACTTTATGGAATATTCGTCGAATGGCAGGAGGT